GTTTAATTTCTACGCCACATGAGTGTCATAATGACATTATGACGACTACACTTTTGAGAGTCTCTTGATTTTATTAGCTTAGCTATTTCCTCTCCTCCAACTACTCTCTTCTAGTCCAATCTCTATGCTAAAACTTAGACCGTACGTGGTCGGTTTTGCATGGTAAAAAAATAAGGCAACAACTCGAACTTATTTTAGGGTTAAAATTACGAACATTTTCTAAAAATTTAAAGTTGAGATTGCAAAAGTTATCTGAAAAGCAACTGGCCATTGCTAGTTTCTTCAATTCAACTTTCAAAAGTTTGTATACTCAACAACACTCAAATATTTACGACATAAAGGCTTTTTCAGTCTGCAATGTTCATTGTAAGTTTGAAAGAAGACAGTGAACCCCCCAATGAGTGTTTATGTACTGGTAATGATGAAAATGGTGGTTCTCTTCATGGCTAACTTATGTTGGTTGAGAATTGGGCATTTCGGATGTTTTCGGCTGCAGGGATCGGAGGATCGTCGAGATAACCCGATGGGTCGTTAGGGAACGGTTTGTTGAAGCCATTGGCTGTGAAGAAGCATTTGTTAGTTTCTTGTTGTTGGTCAAACATGATCTTTAGTCGTTTCCCTTGTTCTTCAATTTGCAACTGTAGCTTCCTCTGTATCTGCAACAACAAAACAAAAAATTTGGAATCCTATTAGATATAAAATTGAGCGGAAAGTTCAAGAACTATCGGACAGTATAAAAGTTTAGATACCAACAAAACACTTTATTATTCAATAGTTTATTTGGCACAAACTCGATAGAATATGGGTATATTACCTCTAGTTGAACATGAAGACACGAGTTCTAAGAACTATTATACACTATTAAAGTTTAGATACCAATTAAACATTTTATCATTCAGTAGTTTGTTTGACACACACTCGATAGAACAGAATATATTACCTCTAGTTGATCATGAAGGCGCCTCTGAACATCTAGCTGCAATTGTAAAGCGTCTTTAATTTGCATGGCACTGTTATGCATCATCAATCAATTGTATTAACACGAATGAGTTAGAAATAACTTTTCGAAGATCTTATATAACTATTTGGTTTTCTTGTAATGGTTATCATCTTTCTTAATCGAACACTTAAACGGTTATCAAAACAAAGAGTTCAATCATTCATGTTCTTGAATATAGATAGAAAAAGTGACGAGAAGCTCACGTTTTGACATCCAGTTCGGCAACTTCATTCATGTCGTTCCTTCTATCAGATTTCCCTGCATTACAAAACACTGTTGCTGAAGTGATCTTCATTCGAAAATAACAATACAAAATTGGAGGTTGCAGGAAAGAATCCATTGTTGATAAGTCCAGATTAAAAGCTTCAAGCAAACAGAACAGAGGATTGAATTGAAAGAAATGGTTTTTCAGTATGGAAATCTCTTACTATCTGCAGATTCTGGCATGTATTTTGCTATCCGATATTTCTACAAAGGAAGAGGAACACAAAATCAGGACTTATGGGTCAGAAAGGAAATTCAAATCATACAAAATTGAATTATGTTATGGATTTCTTTCTTCTTTTGATGAACCTGCAAATGGCTCTTCACATGGAATATGGTCAATCCCTCTGAATCCATCAGCTTCAAAATTGCTTTAGGCGTCGCCTCTGTAACACAAACAACAATGAGCCTTGAAAAATTCAAGAAAACTCCACAAATCGGCTTTAATGTTCTTACTCTCAGCACCACCAAGACGATTAACGCAGTCAACAAACTTCTCATGGAGATCTTGCGTCCATCGGATTCTCGTTTTGGTAGGGAATCCATTGCCATTGAAGGAAGAAGAAGAGCTTCCAGAGCCAAATGAAGAACTCCAACAAGAGAATCTAGGAGAGTTCTTCTCTTGTGAAGAACAAAAGCTAGGCTGTGCAATTGAATAACTGGTTGAATCATAGCACCCCTGAATCAGAATCAAACACCGCAAAAACATCCATAAAAGTTGGAAAGGAGAAGGAAAATAGATTAATCAGATGGAGAGTGGAAATTACGTACTCCTTGATCTTTGAAAGGAATGGAAAAGTGCTTCTCGATTGAAGGCGGACGAGCATCAAACACCTTGTAGTCAGTGAAAATAGTCTTCGGGAAGCCATTGAAGCTTCTCTTACAGAGTTGAGATCTCACGACCGAGTGCAAGGTGTTACTGAATTCAGAATCTGCGCCGCTGTGCTCCGCCGAATCGGAAGCCCTATCGAAAGACGAAGAACCAGTATGAAACTCAATAGGAGGAATCCCCATACATTGCTCCGTCGCGAAGAAAGCCGAAGCAGGAGATTCGAACAGGTTGATGATGGTGGAGCTCGAATTAGACAAACCTAGATTTTGCTGTTCCGACGACTCAACCTCATCCATGGCAGATAGATGAACACGAGCTCCCATCCTCCAGGGCTGCTGTGCCCTAGTATTCTGAGAGTAACAATCAAGAATCACTCCATGATTTTGATGAATTTCTTGCTTCGAATCGATTCCGTAATCGTTCATTTACAGATTTTCCAAGGAAACAACCTCCAAATCTCCGTTTTCAGTCAATTTTTTGGGCTTGAAAACAGATTATCGAACCTTTTCCAAACAGATTGACAGAGTAGAAACAGAGATACAGAGAAGGGGCATAAATAACATCAACGCATGGCCTACAATTCCATTGCGATTATTCTTCAAGACTTGATGTGTAAGATATGATGAATAACAGCGAATTGGAAGAGAGATTATTCGAGAAAAAACGGGATAGAATGAAGAATCGGCACAAATAAATAAATCTACAACGGAGCTAGAACACAAAAGGGAAGAACAATTTGAAATGAATCTTCGTTTTTAACTACGAATCCCAATTTTCGTGTTCGCTCCCTTCAACTTTCATGCACGTATTAAAACTATTATTTTTTATTTTTATTTTTATTTAAATTGTTATTATTATTATTATTATTATTATTATTATTATTATTCTGAACGAACTTTAAAATTATTATTTTTTATCCACAATTTTAAATTGTAAAACACGTTGGAATGATCATTAATTAATTTAATGAGGAATTTCTTTTCTTTTATTATTAATTTTTAATTTTTATTAACGTTGTTATTATTATTATTAAGTTGATGATGGTAATTAAAAAATTTAAAATTTTAAAAAAAAATTATTTTCAATTTGAAATAAATTATTAGTTCCTAAAAAGTTTAAAAAATGACATTTTTAGTCCAAACCTCTCCCTAACAACAAATGTATTTTAAAATGGTGAGACGGATGCATAATGGGTAAAAGGGAACAATATCTAATAGCAATAGGGTTTGACTGTTACAAATGGTATCAAAGCCCGACATCGAGTTGGAGAATTAATAGATGCGTTTTTAAACTATAAGGCTGACGACGATACATAATGGGTCAAAACAGACAATATCTACTAGCGGGGTGGGCTTGGGCTGTTATTAATGGAATCAGAGCTAAACACCGTTCATTTACATACTCCGTTGGAGAGGAAAGCAAGACATTCTTTATTAGAAGACACTAAGCAGTGTGGCAACAGGATGTTGATGTTGAACCCCAAGGGAGCGGAACAAAATATTTCTCATAACAGTGCGTGGGCCCAATGGGGGATTTTATAATTTGTTTATGTTTAGCTCACTGTAGACAAATATTATATCATTGTCCTAACATCCTTTTCACTTCATTCACTCCATCCGTAGAAGTGATGAAATATCGACCGCTCACATGAGCCTTTGTGCTCCACTTTCTGTTCTAAAATCATTCCAAAACCCGCATTCTTGCAAGGGGTCAATGATCCAAAGGTTGGGTTGGGTTGAATAGAAAAATCTAAAATTCAGTTCGGTTTTCTGTTTGATTTTTTTTTGTTGGGTCAATCAGACCCTAAGATTTTAGTTATTAAATTAAATGTACGGTAAATAAGTAATTTTTTTAAAATAATAATAATAATAATAAAAAACAAATGGACAATCAAACCCAAAAATAGAAGGTTGGGTTGAGATGGATTGTGAACTCTATTCACGTTGCTCAGTGTCACGGTCATGCTCGTCCAGGGCGTGTTGCCCATGGCCGCATGCCTATGGCAAGCCAAACCCTTGTCATGTCTTTTCATTCTAGTGTTTTTACTTTTGTAGTTCTAGGGCGTATGACGCCTCAAAAATATCATGTCTAGGCGTGCCAGACATGAAATGCCTCAAAATGTACTATAGGGGGATATGACTAGTTGTCAACTTCTCCCTACCCAAGGTTATATATGCTAAGCCGTTGTTATCTCTCTCTTGCTTGCTTATATAACGTCTCTTTCAAAAATCTCTCTTTCTAAAATCTCTCTCTACCCTCGTTTTCCAAAAACCTTCTTTTAAAACCGAGGTTAGAGGCTTGATCATACGTCGCTTGGCCGTAGGCGACGCAAGTACAAATTGGCTTAGCTCACTTGTCGTTGGAAAGTGAGTGCCGCACAATCGCTAGTCCGCTGCCTTTAAACGTGCGATTGTGTCACTCAGCTCACCAATCCAACTAACCCGAAATTTTGGGTTAGTCTAAAAGATTTTTTCGACTCAACCCATATAAACGAAGATGTTTCAATATGTCTTCCAGTGTCAGTTTTACCGGTCTGCCTGTCTCCAATAATTAATTATCGCTAACCACGTTCGATAGAAATCATCGCATCAATAGCAATAAGTCCTGTTTGAAGAGGCTCATATACGGAACGTCTCGAAATAATACCAGGAGCAGGGGATTCACATTCTAGCCAATTTTTCACTTGAACGAGTTCATTCGACCTAACATTACTCACATTATGCTTATTTATTTTTTTTATAATTTTTATTATTAATTAGTCAAAATTTACTAATCAATAATGAAAACATGAACTATATTGAAATATTTTAAAATTCCAACAAATTATCTACTAAATATTTAAATAAAAAAAAAAAAAAAAAAAAAAAAAAAAAAAACTCCTACGGTGTGGTGTTGGCGGCATGTAAAAAATCAGTCAATATCGTCGCTAGCAAAATCCCACTCTCTCTCTCTCTTTCACTCTCAGGGCACTCACTTGGCCACCCAAAGGGCAGATGCAGAGTAGATCACATGAAGGAGAGGGCAGAGTTTCAATCACTCGCCGATTTCCCAGCCCTAATTGCAAATTGATTCCTGCAACAGGTCTATCTCTCATTTCTTTGTTTTTACTTTTGCATAATTCTATGGAATCTCGTTTTGATTTCGTTTCAATGCTGTTTCAACTATGGGAATTCTTCTTTTTTTTTCCCCCTTTTTCTACGTGGTTTTTGATTAAGGGAGTTTATCTTCGATTATGAACATTCTCTTTTGGTCGTAATTTGTGGAATTCGAGCGATCTAGTTCTGTTTCTGTTGATGTTTCTTGTTTCTTTCTTGAGGATCTTGCTTGATTTGTTCTTCTTGATTGGAATTGTTCAGTTCAAGTTCACGGTGTGATAAAATTGTTAATTTCTAGGGATTTTGCTCGCCGACGAACACTATTCTGCTGCTTCGCTACATTAGCGTTGGGGTCAGGCGACAACAATATACGTTCGTTGGGGCAGATAGACTGATGGTCGATTCTTAAACAGGGCGGATCGTATTACTTGGTATAGAAATCGTCAGGATGATTGTTTCGTATCCTCAGTTTTCTACTGCTTGGTAGTGATCTTGTCTAATTTTCATTGAGTGCTCGGGGGAATCATGCCTGAATTGGCTGATTATTGGACTTATTGAAGTAGAATGGCTATAATCCAAGAGTAGAACAAGCTTGTTTAAATCTATGTACTCCACGACTGAGAATATGGGAAAGGAAAATTTGCTGCAGAGAGTAGTAGATGACAACACTGAAGTGAATGGTTGTTCAACTGCCGAGAACGAAGATCTCGGTTGTCAGTCTCGCCATAGTGTAGGCAAGGAATCTGGGGCAAGTTGTCGTGTATGTCAATGTAGCGAATCTGACAGGAGAGGTGATGCTGTTTTAGGATTTCTAGGCATCACTCCTCCAATAATGGAAGAAAGAAAAAGTGATCGGGATTCTACATCCGAGAAGCAAAGTCTAAAACATGTTGATGGTTGTTCTATGCTGAAAAAAACCGTTAAAGGGGATTCTGGTTCGATTAAGTTCATAGGCCCTAATGGGGAGGTTTTCATTTGTAAAGCTGATATTGAAATGGGTTCATGTCATCTTGAAGATGCATTAGTGGAGCTTGGGTGTTCTTGCAAGAGTGACCTTGCTCTTGTACACTATGCATGTGCTCTCAAGTGGTTTGTCAGCCATGGATCAACAGTTTGTGAAATTTGTGGATGTATTGCAGAAAATATTAGAACTGATGACTTTAGAAAGGTTGTGAGTTCTTTAAAAGAATATGAAGCTTTAAGGGAAAGAACTGCTCGTGGGGAACCGAATCCTATGCAGACAATTGCTAGTACCGATATAGATCCCGATGCTGTTGCTGCTGTCCGCAGGCAGCGGCTTAGTGAAATTGCATTGTGGTTTAGTCCTCATAGTTATATTAGCAACAATAACTCTAGTGCAGCCTCCCAGGTTGTTTCTGAACATTTGAATACCATCTCAGAAAATGTCGTTCGTGCTGAAAATCCTGCAACCAGGTGGGCTGTTGAGGGTACTGGAATTCTCCTTGCTACAGGCCTGCTCACCGTTACGCTCGCTTGCCTAATAGCTCCTCGGGTGGGGAAGGTAAGCCTTAGTAGTTGTTTTATATTATAGTAATTCAGATGCATCTTTCTTGTCAATATGGTCATTTAAATTCTCTTATTTTAAAATTGGAATTCATAGTACTGCAAATTACTGAGTTAAATTTAAAAAATAACGTAGTTTTGAAAAATAATTATGATTTAAGAGTGTTGAAATAAGACAAATTACAAAATTGGGGTAGAGGAGCAAACTATTGACAAAAATAGGGTAGATTTTTTCAGGATGATTGCCATGTCGCGTATATCGTACTCGAGTTTTAGGCCTTCTTTGTTTATTTTCAAATAATAATCCAATTGTTTTCTATTATGGTTTGCTTGTTCAATGAGTTCTTGTTGTGTTACGTTGAAGACATGGAAATCATCAATACACCATTAGAGCAACCATCCACCACGAAACCAAAAAACACACAAGAACCTCTACTTAATTCCCCACAAAGAAGGGAAAAAAGGAATACATAATTCAATCATTTTGTACACAATCAAATTTTAAAGTGGAATAGAAACCTACAAACAAACTCCACAAAAAGTCCACTCCTTGACCGTTCAATTCATCTCTCTACTTCATTGGTCTTCTTCAAACATTATGTGAGACTCGAGTAAAGGAGGGGTACATGAATAGATCGAGACTACATTTGAATGAGAGGGATCACGAGAATAAGATGGCTAAGAAAGGCTTAAAAAAATTGAAAGTTATTGCCTATACCAACAAGGTGCACCTTTCTTTTCTGTAGCTGAATCATATGAACTAAGTTAAGTGTGCTTTGCTTGAAGCGGTTCTAAGTTGGGTGACCTGGTAGTTCTCCTAGGATACATGTGAGTAAGGACAAAACATGCTGGTAGTTCTAAGTTGGGTGACCTGGTAGTTCTCTCCCAATAAGATGTGGTTCGGGACGAACCGAAGCGAAAACTGGTGGGCATGTGACACCTGAATAAAAGAGTGATACATGAATGAACCGAGACCACATCTGAATGAGAGCGATCATGGGAATAGGATAACTAAGAAAGATTTAAAAGAATTGAAAGTCATTACCTATACCAATAAGGTGCACCTTCCTTTTCGGTGGCTTAATCATATGAACTCTATAGCTATGCTTTACTTGGAGCAATTCTAAGTTGGGTGACTTCTTGAGAATTCTCCTAGTGTAACGACCCGCTTTTTGAGGGATTCAAGCCATGAACCGTTACTCACTAATGTGAAATAAGTAAAAATATATAAAACTTAAAACTTTTAACACGTGCATGAACATATGAAATTCATTTAAAATAGTAACGAAATTTTTTGATTTTACAAAGGATAAACTGAGACCACCAAAATAGAATATTACGAGTTTAGACTATTTAAAATACACGAAGTACAAAAATTAAAAGACAAGTCTGAAAGAAAATCTAGACTTGGATATGACTTGATTCCCTATGGCCAACGCCCACGTGCCCCTTCGCCTCAACCGCTACATCAGGTTGCACCTGAAAAGAAAATTGAAAAAGTAGGATTGAGTATATAAAATATACTTAGTAAGTAGCTTGCTGGTAGTTCATAGTTCGTTCTTAAGTCTTATGAAATAAATTTCATTCGTTTAGTGTCTTATTTTGCTTTAGGAGTTTGTTCCTTAAAGTAAGTTCTTTCTAGGCTATACCCTAGGTTAGTTCGTTCCATCTCAGCTTAACTTAGGGTAATTTAGTAGAAACTTGTTTAAGTTCTTGGTTCTTGATCCTATCTAGACCTCCAACCCCCAGAACTTCCCTTGAATTCTAGGTCTCCTAAATTGTCGTTCTACTAGTCTCTTTCATCATCATCATCATAGTTCTAGTCCTGTATTGTAGGCCCTCAAGGGGCAACCTCGACTTCAATCATAAGTTCTAATAAGATTCATGCATTCTAAAGTTTAACCAACTCTTAAGTTACTACTGTAGATTTTTGCGCAGGTTCACTAAAATGAAACTAATTAGTAAACTCTCTAGTAATCCCCATAGAGTACAATCATACGTCATAAGATATCATAAGCCAATTCTATAGTTATTCGGACCCCTGACAGTCGAGTTAGGTTTACAATTAAAGCTAGTTGGCGAGCTTATTGTTATAACTTGGGTTTGTTTGGGAGTAGAGTTCCTCCTTGCCCCCGGGGGGATGAAAATGCCAAGGTTGATATTAAGGATAACTCAAATTTATGGATATATCGACACATATTTTAATATTGAAGACTATTATGGAAAAAACCATAGATATTTTAGAAACATAGAGAAATATGATAAATTTCTTCCTAGAGAAATAAATATAAAACATAATAATACATTATGACATCATTACGATTTGAGGGGAAAGAGACAAAATAAAAATATTTGTTAATAGACTAATTATAATTATAATGTATAATAATACATTATGACCCTAATTGTTGAATTTATATTTTATTAAGACAATTTTTTAAGAACATTAAAAAATGTATAATTGCCAATATAAAATTGAATCGACCATATGCCGTCGTTTGTTTCTCTTTGGAGTGCCAATGCTATGGGATTTTGTAATTGTTCCATTCATTGATATCCTGCGCTAGATTTTTTTTCTTAAAGAATTTTATTTTGGTGCAGAAAACTGCAAAAAGTGGCCTTCATATTCTTCTCGGAGGAGTTTGTGCGTTAACAGTAGTGGTTTTCTTCCGCTTTGTGAGTATAATGCTTTTATTTGGCTATGAACTTGTTTTTCTGGCATCTTTTTTTACTTTTATCATTGGAAACATTTTATTCATTAGTAACGCATTGATTGGTAGAATGGACTAAGGGTCTCACTCAAATGTAGTTGTCGGGTGTCATAATCACAATCATGTGGCAGCAAGACGACGATTGTGCGATACTTGTTCTAACTCAATGAACAAGTCAGCCATGTGAAAGTCGAATTTTGTGGACAATCTTAACGTATGGTCGAGCCTTGGGTCATGTTTGAGAGAAATGTTTTATAAAACGTGAGCGAGGAAATGAGTGGAAAACAATTTGAAAGAAATCAATATTATAGGTTAAAAGCGAAAAAGCAACAACCCCGACTTGATAACTTAGAACCGGATAGGAAGAATGGACAACTAGTCACATCCTTCTATAGTACATTTTGGGGGCATTTTAGCCTTGTTAGGTGTAGACATGATTTTGTGAATGGTCATACACCTCCGTATTGATATATAACAAGATAGTAAAGATCTAACTAGCATGATAGTAAGAAGAAGAGGTTTGGAAAGGGCATGCGGCCCTGGGTTGTTAGGTTATGGAACCTGCTGCCTATTTATATAGCTTAGTTAATGGTTATACATAATAAGACTATATATGGTAAATGACATATAAGTAAATTGTTATAAATAGTAAATAACTATGTATAGTAAAAAGCTATACTCGGTAAAACTATATACGGTAGATAGTTATATATAGTAGATGATTATCTGGTAAAGCTATATATAGTAAACTGAATCATATATATATAGATATATATATATATATATATATATCTCCTTAGACAGAGCTTTGAAAATGTACTCTCGCACTGTACATGCCTGAAGTCATCAATATAAACCTTTAGTCAATATTCCTCCTTGCAATTTCTCTCTCCTATTCTTTGTGTTCAATCTACAAATGTCTGAAGGTGAATCTGTTGCTGATCATATAAATGAACTCAATATGATTGTAAGTCAACTGAGTTCGGTGGAAATTAATTTTGAGGATGAAATTAAAGCGTTTATTTTGATGTCATTTTTACCTGAGTCATGAGATACTGTTGTTGCCGCAATCAGCAGTTTTCGAGGGTCTGATAAACTGAAGTTTGATGAAATTTGAGATGTAGTTCTTAGTGAAAGTATTCGCAAACGAGAAATTGGAGACTATCGGGCAATGCTCTCAATGTTGATCGAAGGGGAAGAAGTAAATCAAAGAGCCCAAACAAACATGGGCTATCAAAATCAAAGAACTGAGGAAAATCTCCAAACAAACCCAACGTAACGTGTTGGAGTTGTGGAGAAAAAAAGGCACTTTCGGACAGATTGTACAAAATTGAAGAAAAAACAGAATCATAAATCTGGAGATGATGATGGTTCTATCTATACAGTAGAAGATATTGAGGATGCTTTAATCCTTAGTGTGGACAGCTGAATCTTGGATTTTGGATTCAGGTGCATCGTTCCATTCATCTCCAAGTAAGGAATTGTTTCGAAATTTCAATTATGGAGATTTCGGGAAGGTGTATCTTGCCGACAACAAAACCTTAGAGATTGAAGGGAAGGGAGATGTCTCCATACAAACTCCATTAGGAAATTAGTGGACATTACAAGACGTCAAATATATTCTTGGTCTCAAGAAGAACCTGATCTCTATTAGTTAGTTGGATAGCACAGGCTATGCAGCAAATTTTGGAAAGAGTTCGTGGAAGATTGTGAAGGGTGTCATGGTTGCATGTGGCACACAATCCGGAATCTTATACACTACTGCGGAGTGTATAAACATGGTTGCTGTTGCTGAGAGTGCTTCTAATTCAAGTCTATGTCACAATAGACTTGGACATTTGAGTGTAAAAGGAATGAAGATGCTGACTGCGAAAGGAGTTTTAGAAGGCCTAAAATCGGTTGATATGAGTTTTTGTGGAGCTGTGTTATGGACGAACAGAGACGAGTTAGCTTCACAAAGGCTGCTAGAGAACCGAAGAAAGTGCGGTTGGAAATGGTTCATACAGACGTTTGGGGACCATCTCCAGTTTCATCACTTGGTGGATCAAAGTTCTACGTCACCTTCATCCATGATTTCAGCAGGAAGGTATGAGTTTATTTTTTGAAACACAAGTCAGATGTGTTATCACCTTTGAGAAGTGGAAAACGAAGTTGAAAATCTGACCAGCTTGAAGATCAAATGCTTGAGGTCTGACAATGGTGGAGAGTACAACAAATCAAAGTTTAAAACATTTTGTGCCACGGAAGGAATTGGATTTATGAGAACAATTCCTAGTAAGGCAAGACAAAATGGTGTGCAAAAAGGATGAACATAACATTGAATGAGCGAGCAAGAAACATGAGGATTCATTCTGGACTACCAAAGGCATTCTGGGCTGATGCTATGAACACAACAACCTATTTGAAAGACTCAAGTACTCTCACTTGAGAATTTTTGATTGTACTGCATATGTTCACGTTGATCTAGAGAAGAGAGACAAGTTTGATGCTAAGGCTGTGAAGTGCTACTTCATAGGCTATGATTCTGACATGTTTGGGTACAGGTTTTGGGATGACAAGAATAGGAAAATCCTAAGACATTGTGATGACCTTTCATGAAAATGTCCTATACAAGGACTGGGAGAAGATAAACTCTGAGACTACGAAGCAAATGGGAGTTGAGCTTGAGTTGCCAGAAAACTCACATAGTGATATTACGACAGAAGCTCAAGAAACTCTTGAGATGGTTGCTGAAGAACCAAACGTGGAGCAAGTTACACCTGAGCAGTTGTTGAGGAGATCATCTAGAACTATGAGAGCACCCGATAGATATTCACTTTCATTACATTACTTGTTGCCGACTGACGAAGGAGAACTAGAGTCCTTTGATGAGGCCGTGCAGGGGAAGATTCAACCAAGTGGGAGCAAACTATGGATGATGAGATGAGCTCGCTTGAAAAGAATAATACGTGGGCGATGACTGAGTTACCTACAGGAAAGAGAGCTCTGTTGAGCAAATGGGCGTTCAAAATCAAGGGGGAACCAAATGGCAAAAGGAGTTTCAAGGCTCGATTAGTAGTTAAAAGATATTCACAAAGGAAAGACATGGATTATGTTGAGATCTTTTTTTCGGTTGTGAAATTAACTACTATCCGAATTCTGCTGAGTATTGTTGCATTGGAGAATTTGCACCTTGAGCAAATGGATGTAAAAACAACCAAAAGGGTTTGCAGCTCCAGGCAGGAGCACATGGTGTGCTCAATAAGAGTTTATATGGACTGAAACAAACACTGAGACAGTGGTACAAGAAGTTTGACTTCTTCATGTGCAAGAACAGTTTCCATAGGAGTGAAAAGGATTAGTGTTGTTACCTCAAGAAATACACTGATTCTTATGTGTTTCTACTCCTGTACGTGGATGATATACTGATTGCTGGATCCATCATGAGGGAGATAAACTACCTAAAGGCGAGCATGTCTTCATTATTTGAGATGAAAGATTTGGGTGTAGCGAAGCAGATTCTTGGGATGTAGATTTCTTGAGATAGATTTGCTGGCACATTAAATCTATTTTAGGAGTAGTACTTTGAGAATGTGTTGTCCAAATTCAGGATGAATGATGCTAAACCCAAGACTACCCCTTTGGCAAATCGTATTAAATTGTCAAAGGGGCAATCTCCCAAGACAGTGAGGAAGGTGAGCACATGACATTAGTTCCGTACGTTTCTGCAGTTGGGAGTTTGATATATGCTATGGTCTGCACTAGACTTGATATAACACATGCCGTGGAAGTTAGAAAGTACATGGTAAACCTAGGGAAAGAATATTAGGAAGTTGTGAAGTGACTTCTGAGATATCTGAGAGGTGCATCCAATACTTCACTTTGTTATAACAAGGTTTTGTGGATGCTGATCTGAGTGGAGATGTAGACTCTAGCAAGAGCACATCTGGATATCTACACTATAGATGGAACAACAGTGAGTTGGATGTCCAAGCTTCAGAAATGCATTGCTCTTTCATCTACTGAGGTTGAGTACATGATAATAGCTGAAGCTGGAAAGTTGATGATTTGGATGATAGACTATCTAGATGAATTAGGCAAGAAGCAGTGCAAGAAGATTCTTTATACAGATAGTCAGAGTGTCATATAGTTGGTGAAGAACCTAATCTATCATTCAAAGACAAAACACATCAGAAGGCGATACTATTTCACTTGCAGGTTAGTGGAAGAAGGTGATATGTGTTTGAAGAATATAGAGGGTGCAAAAAATCCAGCATGTTGACAAAATGTGTTGATGTTAGAAAATTGAGGTTGTGCAAATCCTTAATTGGTACGGTGCAGTGAAGATGCTGATGGTCATTTAAGAATGAAATTCTTGGTTGACTGGATTAGTCTTCAAATGGGAGAATTGTTAGGTTATGGAGTATGCAGCTTATTTATAGCTTAGTCAACGGTTATACATAGTAAAACTATATATGGTAAATGACATATAAAGTAAATTGTCATAAATAGTAAATAGCTATGTATAGTAAAAAGTTATATTCGGTAAAACTATGTATGATAGATAGTTATATATAGTAGATGATTATATCTAGTAAAACTATATATAGTAAACTGAACCATATATATATCCCCTTAGGCAGAGCTTTGAAAATATATTTTTTTGTATTCTGTCTTACTGTACATACCTGAAGTCATCAATATAAACTTTTAGCCAATATTTCTCCTTGCAATTTCTCTCTCCTGTTTTTTGTGTTCATCTAGATCGAGTGTGTGCGTTGTTGTGCGATCCTAACATGGGTAACACGCCCTAGACAAGCATGACTGAGACATTCGACACGTGATCACAGACAACACACCTTGGACAAGCATGACTGTGACATCCTCCCCCACGCAATTGGTTGACGTCTCTATCAACCGACTCTCCACGAACTCAACGATGTAAGATGAGACTGACTTCAGATCTCTCGACGCGCTTCCAGTTGATCTCAACATTAAGGATCGCACAACAATGCACACACTCGATCTAGATGAACACAAAGAACAGGAGAGAGAAAATGGAGAACTCTGACTAAAAAGGTTTGTATTGATGACTTCAGATATGTACACCATAGAGAATACAAAGAGTACATAAAGTACATTTTCAAAGTTTTGCCTGAGGGGATATGGTTCAGCTTACTATATATATAGCTTTACCATGTATAACCACTACTATATATAACTATCTACCATATATAGCTTTATCGGATATAGATTTTTACTATACATAGCTATTTACTATTTATGAAAATTTACTTTATATGTCATTTACCATATATAGCTTTACTATGTATAACTGTTGACTAATCTATAAATAAGCAGCAGACTCCATAACCTAACAGGGCCCCCCTTGTATATGAAGCAGCGCGAGGGCCCTTGACTATGGTCGTTCTTGTTGTGAGGTTTCCGCCATGGAGTTCTACCTCTCTGTTGGGAGGATTCACCATCCCTTCCTCCATCTTCGAGTTTGTCACCTCCTCACCTTTGGTTGGGGAGTTGGATAAGTAATGAAGCCGGATTCCGCTTTACCTCTTGGGATTGATTGTTGCTATAGTCAAACAATCGTTCAATTGTAGCATAGGCCGTGGAAAGATCTTGAGCTCTGTTCGTAGAGCGTGGTCTTCGTCCATGGCTCCAGCCCCTCAACAAAACGGAAGACCTTATCTTTCTCGGACATGTCACAAATATCCAATGTAAACCTAGAAAACTGCTTGACGTAGTCTCAGAAATTTCCAATATGCTTCCGCTCCTTTAACTTCCTTCTCACTATTATCTCAACATTCTATGAGAAGAACTGTGAGCGGAGTTCTTGTTTTAAGTTCTCTAAAGTATCCACAGTCCATCAACCATCTTAAATGTCTATGTACTTGAATCTTCATTACAATTACAACTTTGCATCATAGATTTATACTTGCACATAGATTACAATGTTAATATGCAGTTGTTTAGGCACATCTAGAAGCTTATTTAACCGCCCTTCATTGATTTTCTTTCTCAAACGTTGTGCTTATGGAGGGGTGGCTGAACTATTCTGATGCGCTGGAACTCTTTTATGAGCTTGTTTGTTGTTTGGTATAGCTTATAGTGATTGGATGATGTAGCTGGCAGAGCCTTCTTGGTCTCATCATTATCAGACTCATTTGAATTTCTTTTTCTCTTCAAGTTGAGATTGGTCTAGGGTAGGTTGATTGATAGTGCCTGAACTTCTTCTCTATCAATAGGGTTCAATTGTCTTCCGCATCTCAACTTCATTGCTTGGCATTTCCTTAAAGACGAAGTTTCTGAATGAATGCGCCATTCTTGGCCATATACTCGTTTATTAAAGATACGAGTGAAGTTGAGGTTGAAGCTGTTAGTACGTTGATTCCTTGCTGATTGTTGCGTTGAAATTTTTCTCGGTGTTGTAGAATGGAAACATTTGAGTTAGTGTTAAGCCAGGAAGATGTAATTGTAATAGCTCAAGCCCACCGCTAGCAGATATTTTCCTCTTTGAGCTTTTCGTTTTGGGCTTTTCCTCGAGGTTTTTAAAACACGTCTGCCAGAGAGAGATTTCCACACCCTTGTAAAGAATGCTTCGTTCTCTTCTCCAACTGATGTGGATCTCACAATCCACCTCCCTTCGGGCCCAGTATCCTCGCTGGTACTCGTTCCCTTCTCCAATCGATGTGGGACTCCCAATTCACCCCCCTTCGGGGCCCAGCGTCCTTGCTGGCACACCGCCTCCTGTCCACCCCCTTCGGGGTTCAACCTCCTTGCTGGCACATTGCCCAGTGTCTAGCTCTGATACCATTTGTAATAGTCCAAGCCACTGCCAGCCGATATTGTCTTCTTTGGGCTTTCCCTTTCAGGTTTCCTCTCAAAGTTTTTAGAATGCGTCTGCTAGGGAGAGGTTTCTACACCTTTATAAAGAATGTTTTGTTCTTCTCCTCAATCGATGTGGAATCTCACAGTGGTCTACTTACGTGAAGCAGACACTAACGCATTAGGAAGGTTTTGATTCCCTCCAAGGGGTGATATCTCTTGCAAGTGTTGAATAGATTATTTTTGTTATTATTTGGCTGCCTCCACATTATAAATTGACTCTGAATTAGATGGACAATTTTTTCCAACGTGTGGTTGTAGTTGGAATATGCACATGACAGTAGGCTACTTGGTTTTTACCGAGAGAACTGTGGGCTGCGTTGACATTGACTTCACCAAGTTAGTTAATGCAGCCATCTGACGTACTTGAAAACTTCTTGTCCTGGATTGAATAGGAAGCTTTCTCTTATCTTAGGCAGATCCCTATTCTTAGTTATTCTTGGCGATGGTTTTCACCGAGAAGTCATTAAGTAAATTTGTGAGTTCCCACATTGGTCAGAGAGGGGAACGAAACATTCATTATAAGGGTATGAAAACCTCTCCCAAGTAGACCCGTTTTAAAATCGTGAGTCTGACGGCGATACGTAACGGGCCAAAGTGGACAATATCTGCTAGCGGTAGACTTGAGCTGTTACAAATGGTATCAGAGCCAAACACCGAATGGTATGCCAAAAAGGACGTTGGTCTCCCAATGAGGGTGGATTGTGATATCCCACATCGGTTAGAGAGGGGAACGAAAAATTTCTTGTAAGGGTGTGGAAACCTCTCCTTAATAGACGTGTTTTAAAACTGTGAGGCTGATGCCCATACGTAATGGACCAAATTGGACAATATTTACTAGTGGCGGGCTTGGACTGTAACAAAACTACACGTAAGAATCAGCAAAAGGTGAATCCTTATCTTCAAAGATCCATAGATTTATTCCATGGGATATTTTAAAATTCTCAAGTAATAGTAAAAATATGGTATACTTGTATACGTATATACTCGAAGTCCACATTGAAGGGTTGTGTTCCCATTCGTCGCATTAATCGTTTAACATACTTTTACATTGGCATTAATCGTTTTACCTATGAGATAGTTTGAGAAACCTCAGTTGCAATTCTTGACATTTATTCTTTCCATTTCTGCAGTTTGTGCTTACCAGAATAAAATATGGACCTGCACGATACTGGGCCATTTTGTTCGTCTTTTGGTTCCTAGTGTTCGGCATTTGGGCGTCGAGGACACACAGTGCCCATACGACGTAACCGAGTATGTTATGTACATTCTATTTGGCTGTTTTTTGTTCTCCACTTCAAGGCGATATAGAAGAGTTTGATACCTTCTTTGAGGTACTAATATCATGATATATATATATATATATATATATATATATATTCCTGCAGGGTTTTGATTTTATGTTGTATTTTAGGTTGTACTGAGTGTAAAGTTCACATTGAGAAAGGTATACAAGTATCCAACAGGATACAAAGTATACCCTTCAGCTGTATTCCCTTGACATCAGAGCTGAGTATTTTTTTTCTTTTATTTCTTAGAAGGATCTTCGATTCTTTTAAAATTTTGTTAAATTTCTCTCATTTTTTTAAGTGTTTTAAAATGGTGGATGATTTGATTATAAGTTTCTAGTTAGATATCGAACCAGGTAAGTTGCCGCCTCCTGTTGGTAAATTATCGTTGGTTCAATCTCGTCGGTTCGATAGTTCAGTCTCAATTAGTCAGTTTCTCCCGACACTTATCTTGCTCTTTTTTTTTTTTTTTTTTTTTGTTAAGCATAATATACAAATATTATGGAGTTTGGATTTTGGAGTAGTCTGATTGCATGAGTAGTGAAATTAGTGTTTTTTCATGAATTCAAATTACACCTTGATCATTCCGTTCGAATAGTTGATAGGCCTCTCGTTGAAGTTACATGAACATCGTCCATAAAATTGTCAAATGATGTCTTATTCGACTGTTTTTTGTGTTCCTAAATTGAATGTAACTTTTTTTTTTTATTGTTCTTCGTGTTCTAAAATGGTGGATGATTTGATTATAAGTTTCTAGCTAGATATCGAACCAGATCAATTACTGTCTCCGGTTGGTAAATTATCGTTGGTTCAATAATTCAGTCTCAGTTAGTCAGTTTCTCCGGACACTTATCTTGCCTTGCTTTTGTTTGGATTTTGAAGCAGTCAGATTGCATGATAAGTTACATGAATATCGTCAATACAATTGTCAAATGATGTCTTATTCTCGACTGTTCTTTGTGTTCTTAAATTGAATGTAACTTATTTTTTATTGTTTTTCGTGTTCTTAAATTAAATGAAGGCCAATTATAGATGATTCTCGATAATAGAATGGTTTCTAAAAGAAAGTGTTGAAATTGGATTTGTTAATTTAAATTACAATCAAATATGTTTTGTTATTAAAAAAAAAATTGAGTTAACTAATAGTTCATTGAAGTATAAAGAGTCAACAAAAATTTAATTAATTAAAGTACAAAAATTACAAAAATGAGCAAAATTATAGTGTAAATTTGATTTTTAAAATTATCCCTTCAATCCAAAATTTAAAATTTATTTTATCAAATTTTATTTATTTATTTTCTACATAAATACGAACATTTTAAATATCCATTTTTTATTAAAAAAGAAAATGAAACTAAATTAAAGCACAATATTTTGACATTTAGTATGCCACGTGGAGGAAGACTTGCTGACTTGGCGCTATTTGGTTGGTCAATGACACATCATCAACAGACATGTCATAAAATTTTATTATTCCAAATTAAATTTGAGAAATGAGAAATCACAGAAGAAAAAGAGATTAGGAAGCGCAGAGACTCAATATCGTCCGCCATGACTGCTCGCAAGAGAGCTTCTGCAAACCCATCGGTCAAAGAAGCTTCTCCCAAAGAAATTGACAAGACACACCAAAGCAAATCCCCAATAATATCGGATGATCCGCCCCTTGCGCCGCCGAAAACAGGTTTTATCTTCAAACTCATTCTCTTCTTCTCTGTCCCATACCTTTACCTCATCGTCTACCGCTACAAGATCGACCTAGAGCTCAGAAGATCAATCATCATCAATGCTGGACTCAGTCTTGCTGGATTCTTTGTCACTCTGTGGATGATACCTGTTGCTTCCAGATACGTTATTAGGCGTAATTTATTTGGCTATGATATCAACAAGCGGGGTACCCCTCAAGGCGCTGTTAAAGTGTAGGTGATTTCAATTCAAATTGATAACTCTGATTAGATTTAGTCATTTTGTGAACATGATCTGGTTTTTGCTTGCCAGAATTTTTGTTCAGTTTAATTTCACTTTCTGAGTGACTTCTAGTTTAAATTAGGTTTCGGAATGTTTATGGCTTCAATTTTCTGATTGCCAAGCTCCAAATAGACCAAATTGAACTAAAAAAATCAATTAAATAAAATAAAATTACAGATAATCTATTTATTGTCTCTAATTTTTTTTTTTTTTTTTTTTTTTTTTTTTTTTTTTTTTTTTTTTTTTTTTTTTTTTTTTTTTTTTTTGAGGAATTAGCATCATGAATCTTCTCTGGAGGATTTGGCCTATGGTATTGGGCATAAAATAGTTTATTTTTCGTAAATAAGTGTCGGAGTTATGGTTATTTTATGAACTGGTTATTCATGAATTAATATATTATGAATGATATTTTAGGGATATATAGTAGGCAGTTACTGAATTCATGTGATCAATGATAACAACATTAGGTAATTGAAATTCTGGTGGCATTTATAAATGAGGAGGTAGTAAAGAAATCAATTTTCCTTTTTGTTTCTGGATAGTTATTTCTATGAAAAAATTGTTTTTGACTCATGATGTGTAACGGTCCAGACCTACCGCTTGTAGATATTGTCCTCTTTAGGCTTTCTCTTTCTGGCTTCCCCTCAAGGTTTTTAAAACGCGTCTGCTAGGGAAAAGTTTCCACACCCTTAAAGAGTGTTTCGTTCTCCTTCTCAACTGATGTGAGATCTCATAATCCACCCCCTTCAGGGCTCAGTGTCCTCGTTGGCACTCGTTCCTTTCTCCAATCGATGTGGGACCCCTACCAATTCCACCCCCTACAGGGCCCAGCGTCCTTACTGGCACACCGCCTCTTGTCTACCCCCTTCGGAGAACAACCTTCTCGCTGGCACATCGCCCGGTGTCTGGCTCTGATACCATCTATAACGGTCCATGCCCACCGCTAGTAGATATTGTCCCTTTTGGACTTTCCCTTTCGGGCTTTCCCTCAAGGTTTTTAAAACCCGTCTGCTAGGGAAAGGTTTCCACACCCTTATAAAGGGTGTTTCGTTCTCCTCCCCCACCGATGTGGGATCTCACATCATGTGTTTTTAAACTTTTGTTATAAGACATCTTTATTTGCTAGTTTTAAATCTCATGTACCTTTTTGATGCACTTTCTGATACTTCATTTTGTTTTGCAGGCCTGAGTCGCTGGGAATTGTTGTGGGGATTTCCTTCTTGGTCTTAGCAATTGCGTTTCAGTATTTTAACTTCACATCAGATTCAAATGTGAGCCCCAAGCTTACAAAGATTTTTGCCATTTGAATTTGTTTCATAGCTATGGATTAATTCCTTCCTATTGAGTAGATTGCTGTTCTTTTTATTTAATTTAGTTTTATTTGATATATTTGCTATAATGATTCTTTAATTATTCTTCAAATTTTGGCGAGGGTGGGGAGATGTTGATCATAGCAGCCTTAGTTCGACCACCCCAAAAAGTGGATCCCTCTCTAATAACTCTGAATAAAACATTAAAATACGAAGACTTTAGCTCAACTTTATCAAGCAAGCACTTGCATAAGTTTTGTCTAATTTATGTGTCAATTTTTCAAAGATTAAACTGTTAAATAATGTGACAATGCAGTGGCTTGTTGATTACAATGCAGCCTTGGCATCTATTTGCTTTATGACATTGCTTGGATTTGTAGATGATGTTCTTGATGTCCCCTGGAGAGTGTGAGTATTTTCTACTCACTTTACTCAATGTTTGTTTCATATCTAAGACGGATCATCTAGTATGGTGCTTTAGTAGTTCTAAGACTATATTCTGACCTGCCTTCTTTTATTTGCTGTAAAGATCAGGAAACTGCTACTGCCATCGTTTGCTGCTCTTCCCTTGTTGATGGCTTACGCTGGACACACTACTATTATAATCCCGAAGCCTTTGATTCCATACCTTGGAATGGATGTCTTAGACCTTGGTAAGATTTCAGACAAATTATGTTTATGTTTATGTTGATGGCTTACACTGGACACACTACTATTGTCCTCTTTGGCCTTTCCCTTTCGGGTTTCCTCTCAAGGTTTTTGAAACGTGTTTTCTAGGGAAAGATTTTCACACTCTTATAAAGGGTATTTCGTTCTCCTCCCCAACCAATGTGATATTTCTACCATGAGTCAAAGATACTCGTCCCCGAGTAATGAAGCTCTTCAAGGTAAAGAGGAGGTTTAAATGAGAATTTGTTAATCTAAAGAGAGTGCTTCTAATAAAGTATTGATATAATTAAATTTATCGTAACCTATTTAGCTTAAGTTTATGAGTCTAGTGGTGATTTAACGTGATATTAGAGCACAGGAGGTCGAGTATTCTAACTCCTATAATAGTTTTCCTTCGCTCATTAATGTTAATTCCACTTGTTAGGCCTTTTTGAAATTTTCAAACCCACAAGTGAGGAGTATTAAAGTTGTGATATAACTTAATTCGCGATAACCCGGAATGAAAACAACCCATGAAATTTTAGTTTGTAGGCGTTTCGATCCTCCGTTTTTTTTCCCTGTTAAGTTTTGAACCTTAATGACCCACTATAGATGTAATCCAAACTGCCAATGAAAAAAGTGTAATTGTCCTATTTGGTTTGTAATTGTCCTTTTGGTGTAAAGCGGCCAATGTTGATGTACTTGGTCCGCATTTCGAACGAGTTAATGTCGTAATCCTAACTTGCTTAGCTCTCCAATAAATTGGTGATTGAGATACTAATTTCTACTACACTATGATACACAGGATGGATATATAAGCTTTATATGGGACTATTGGCAGTGTTCTGTACAAACTCCATTAACATTCATGCTGGTTTAAATGGATTGGAAGTTGGGCAAACAGTTGTCATTTCATTTGCGGTAAGTACTGAACAAGCTGTAGTAAAGGGGCCCAATTTTCTTGAGCATGACATGTCTTAGCTATTTGCAGATATTGGTTCATAACGTTATGCAAATTGGAGCGTCGACAGATCCGGAGTACAAGCAGGCCCATGCATTTTCTATTTATCTTGTTCAACCCCTATTAGCCACATCCTTAGGCTTGCTAGCTTTCAATTGGTAATTTATCATGCTTTACGAAAAAACGTATGGTTTTACCTGTTTTTCCTTCATGTTTATGTCTTCTCAACATCTTTTCTTGGCTTGTGTGATTTAGGTACCCGTCATCGGTCTTCGTTGGCGATACCTATACATACTTTGCTGGGATGACTATGGCTGTGGTCGGGATTCTAGGCCATTTTAGGTGCGTACTTTGTTCTAAGTTTCGCTTTTTTTTTTCTTCCCTAGAACTTAATTGACATTTCATTG